GGGGGGGGAGGGAGGTGGGTTCTTACTGTTCCTATGCCACACCCCTCTGACCTTTACACCAGGGACCAGACCCGAGGTGGGAACAGAGCCCCCACCCTGAACCTCGCTCACCTTCCCCTTGGGTGTTTCTAAAATTTGAAGTTAGGTTTTTAAGACAAAGGGAGGGCAAAGGCAAATACTCTGCAGAACGCCTGCGGCCCAGCTGCTGCTGTCGAGGCTGCTGAAGTCCCCTCGCCGCCTCCACCCTGCACCTCTCCCCACCAGCGTCACCCACTTGCCCAGAGCAAGCCACATCCACAGCCACAGCAGTGACAGTGTCCAGCCCTCAGCCGTTACCCTTCCAGTCTTGATGTCCTGCACGTAGATGCCCTCATTCTCGTCGAGGGGGATGGCCTGGCGCTCTTCCACCACCTCCACCTTGGCAGACGGCACATACTCCAGGGGCCCACGGATGAGCCAGTGGTCGCCGGCCTTGTGGGAGACCTTCTCCTCATCTTCCCCCTCCTCCAGGGCCTGCAGGGCCCTCAGCAGCAGCCCCTGCTGCTCCGAAAGCACATACACGTCCTGGATGCCTCGTTCCAGCCTCTCTCCCGGCTGGAGGAAAAAAGACTTCTCTCCCTAGCGGGGAGACATGGGTTTAGGAGCAGTTGCCACCCAGTTGCAGGTGCCTCTGATGGCACCTCTCCCAGCCCCATGGGGCCCCATGTTGAGCACAGGAGCCCCCAAAGCACCTTTCCCACCCCCCGTTATAATACAGTGAAGTGGTATCTGGACTGTGAGGCTCGCTACAAATGCCTGCAGATCTTATTTGGTCAAACCTGCCCTTAAAAGATCCTGTGAATTGTCAGGATCTGGATCCTCAAAAGCTCAAGAGATAAGAATTAACATATTGTTACTCTTCGTTTCTCCTATGTTTTGTTTTCTTGGGATGGTGTAGTCTGGGCATTGACAAACTCTGGTCTTTGGGCCAGATCTGGCCTGTTCCCTTTAAAAATATATATATACAGTGGTGGGCAAAAGTAGGTTTACAGTTTTGAGTACGTGAAACAGTTTATTCTTGTATTATTTATTATTATTAACCTATTTTGCCCACCCATATGTATTTGAGCTATAATCCACATGCCATAAAATTTACCCAGTTCAAGTATATAATTCAGTTGTTTTAGTATATCCACAGAGCTGTCCAACCATCACCACAACCTACTTCCAGAACATGTTCATGACCCTGAAAAGAATCACTGCACCCAGTAGCAGTTACTGTCCCACCCCACCGCCCACCAACCTGTCTTCTGTCTCTGCGGGTTTATCTATTCTGGACATTTCATATAAACGGGAGTTTATATGAAATATGCGGTCTTTCATGCCTGGCGTCTTTCGCTTAGCACGGCGTTCCAGTGTATCCACGTTGCAGCAAGCTGACCGTGAGCACACGAACTTCAGCGCCTGTTCATTCTTTTTATAGCTGAATGATATTCCATTGTATAGATATGGATACACCGCAATTTTTTAGCCACTTATCAACTGACAGACATTTGGGTTGTTTCTACTTTTTTCTGCCTGTTTTGGCAAATAAAATGTTACAGGCACACAGCGACCCTCGTCCATCCACAAGCTAGCTATGCTGCTTTCCCAGAACAACTGGAGAGCTGAGTAGTTGCAACAAAAACCATACCAGTCGTGAATTTGGCCCTTTATAGAAAAAGTTTGCCAACCCCTGGTAATCGTTGTTAGTTCAGAGAGGGAATGAGGTGGGGGCTGGGGAGAAGGGTAAACCAAGAGGTTTTTTGGTGTTTTGTTTTTGTTTTTTTACACAGAATGACAAAGTTTCCAGAAATGTGACAGTGAGTTTCCTGGTTTTCTGCACTGGGCAGGGCCAGGGCCAGGGCCAGGGCCAGGGAGGCGCTCCCAGAAGAGGCAGCCTGCCAGGGAGATCAACAGGTCAGTGTCTTAGAGCTAGAACCTCGTGCGCATAGGCACAGAGGGAGCCGACAAGTGGGCATTTCCAGAATGTGGACCCCGGATGGGGAGAGAAGGGAGAGAGGGACAAGGCCCTCATGCTAACTAAAGGGCAGGCACCCACCAGGGAGGCGGAGGCACTTACCTTGATGACCAGCTTTTGTCCCAGCTGGTTCTTGCCATCCAGCCCAACTGGGTCGAGAATCACACAGTAGTTGCGGGGGCCCAAGGTGGTGATAGGCACAACCCCCAGCACCTCCTCGTAGACATCTGGCACATGGGCCTCCGTGTCTCGCACAGTCACCAGCCACTCCTCCCCAGTGCGGCGGGCCACTCCCCTCAGGTCCCGAAAGTTCTGCCGAGCGCGGAGGTGCAGGGCCGTCTGCAGAGCAAGACATGGGCATGAGTAAACCCACCTCCAACTTCCTCAAGGGACCTGGGAACCCCGCTGGTCACCAAACGCTCCCGGGTTTCAGTGTCAGTTTCTACTAACCCAGGAGGACTTTCTAACCCTTTCAGATGACCCAGGATACTCCTCAGGTTATGTGACCTCTAAACTTTTCTTCTAGTGGTCCTAGAAATATTGCTTCTCTTTTATGCTCATATATCTGCCACCATTTCTGCCACTCTGAGCGTGCCCTACCTCGGGGTCCCCTCACCCACATCCACCAGAGCACAGACCTTTTCCGTGAGGATCACCGCGTCCACCAAATCCAGAACCTCCTCGAACACTGCCGGGAGGTATGCACCCACGGAGCGGACCAGCCATTCCTCTCCTGGGCCAAGGGTGCAGTGGTAAGGGTCAAGGGTCACCCAAGCCTGCTCCCAGCTGCCACTGGCCACAAACCCAGGCAAGCAATCTGATTTCTGTGTCTAAGTTTTGTTATGTGGAAATGGAAATAGTAGTGACTCAAGGTTGTCTGAGGACCTAATAAGTTATAATTTGTAAAGGATTTTGAACCACACCCTGGCAGAGTTAGCACTGCGTTTAAGACATTGTAAACACATCACATTTGTCAAATACAATTGCCAATTGCATGTGAACACCTGCTTTGCTGATCTAGAAACAGACACGGCCACTGCCCCCAGCTCATGATAAAGGGTGTGGGGAGGGAAAGGCATGTCAGCATGATCCCGACCTGCATGAAGATGGGTGGGGGAAGCAACTGTGGGCACTCCCAAAGGTTTCTAAGATTCCAGCGAAGCACTTCCTCCCAGGCTGTAGCCACTTGTAAGTGGCTTTCCCCAACCTTCCCCCACTCCCCACCCTGCAATTGAGA